AGCTTGGCGCAAACGATTTTCGTAAGAAACTAAACTTATTTCGGTCGAATTCAATTTATTTTTTTTCTAGACGAAAATCACAACGACTTACTGAAAATGACGAAATTCTCTTGAATAATACTGCCAAATATCGTCGAAAATTACATGCAGCTATATCTCAAATAAATCGTACAAAAAAATCTGTACAACGAAATTTTGATAGTCCTGCATCTGAAGTTCATGGTAAAAGAATACATATCTTTTTTGATTTCTTGTTCTATGAAATTTATTTAGTTGCTCGACTAATCAATGATATTGGTCAATTATCTGATTGTAAATCATTACAAGTAAATTTCTAATAGAAAATCTTCGAGATAAATCTTTTTTATTCTTTCTTTTTTTAAAGGAAATTACTGGTTTAATTGATTCTTTAGCTATGCGACATCAATTATCATCACGAATATATAATGGTAAGAAGATTTTCACTGGAAATGCTTATTTCTTTTTGAATAATATTTACATAGAATATGCTATGAATTCACTTCAACAATCATTACGAAAACTTGATGATAATTTATTAAATGATTTTGATAAAACAAAATCAATATTCGAAGAAGCTTTAACTAATCATTGTTCAGATCATACAAAGAATCAATTATTCACAAAAGGTTTGAAAACCAAAATAAAATCATTCTAAAAACAATTTATATATACTTTTAGTACAAAATGAATGGTTTAAACATCAAAACTTAGCTAATAAAGAACTTAAACAAGGTTTATCATCTTATTGTGATATTGGTTTATATAATCTTAAAGTACAGATGGCTATTCTGGAAAAACTACAAGTAATCATCTATAAAGACTGTTACCCGATTTGATGACTTGCCTTAAGTTAGGATACCATATATGTGGTTTTATAGAGCAACCTGCAGTGCATGAAATGCCATATAAGAAATCAAATTTTTGATGTTTTGAAGAGAACTATATATAGTACTCACATGCATTGTGATCTGTAAGATAAATTTATGCAAATTTTGTTTTTAAAGTCGATTCGATGGAGTTATAGGTGCTCTTAAAATTTCCATAATCAATAGTTTCCAGCGTGTTTACTTCTGTATCATAGATAAGATCTTTCGAAACAGCAAGGATTCATTGTGAAATTGCAAGATTGTCCCCTAGAATAGTCTATTTTCTTATATGCAGAAACCTCTATATGGGTGATATTTTAACAATAATTAACGTTCCTATTAGAATTTTCATCTACTAATGATCAGCACATCCTCACTAACAAATTGAAATGACTAACTCTTTCAAAAACGGAAAAAGTTTTTATTCAGTGTATAGATTCCTAAACGAGAAAACAGGGATATGGGAAATTTTATCTTTCAAATGAACATAAGATACAGATTCTTTCCAAGTCTCATGCATAAATTAAACCTATATGCTCGGAATAAAAATTTGAAAGAAATAAGAGAAACAACAGACCATCTACCTACAATCGTATCCTCATATTCTCTCCAGAGATATGGGTTTATTAGGTATATGGTGTTGATTATTGGTACATAAACACTTCTAATAGGACCGTCGAGTATTGTTAAAACATCATCAATATATATATCGGTCCCTTCATATAAGAAAATAGGGTATTATAATGGCCAATCTTGCAAGTTACAATGACTCCCTGCTGTTCCGAAACACTTTATATGTGGCACAAAGTTAATCATACTAGAAATCGAATAGTTATAAAATAGCCTAGTCCTAAGAAAAGAAACCATTTTTAAGTATGAAGAAAGTAATGATAAAAACTATTGATTACAGAAATCTAAAGAGCACCTATAGCTATATCGAATTGAGTTTAAAAATAAAATTTCCATAAGTTTGTATTACGGACCGGAATTTATGCGAGTATGATATATATTTCTCTTCAGAACATCAAAAACTTGATTTCTTAAATAGTATTCGGTGCGTTGGAAATTGCCCTATCAAACTATGTACATAATATACTAGCTCAAGATAGGTCATCAAATCCAGTAAGATCGTTTTTGTACAAAATTTTTTTTTGTTCTCTGACTATGCTAGAATTTTGTTGATCAATTACCTCATGATGATAATGATACAAATAATGGTTTACCAAATTTTGCTGCTAATAGTATAGAAACTCGACGTGAAATAGATACAATGTTACGTGTTATGTTGGATGCAGCACCTAGTGATTCAGCTTCGTTACCTGGTATAAAACGACCGAAATTTTTAGACAATCATTTAACGCTTTCAAGTAAAACTTTAGTCTTTGAATTTTATATTTTTATAGTTTTTGCAACATTTTTAAGATTCACTTTATTCACCTGAAATATCTGAAGCAGCAGCTTGTTCGAATTTACCAACAATAGGACAAAGAAATACACCGGTTATTCCTCAATATCCTTCTATGATTGCTTCAGCAATAGAAACAAATAGACAAATACCACAATATGACTCGGCAATGAGCACACCTTTGGTATCACACAATGGTCGTTTTCAAAGTAATATTAATAAATCAATGAAATTATGTCTTAAAATTATTAAGACATTAGACAGCATAGATCTGATACTTTTATAAAATAATCATAGAGGAATACATTCATAGAAATTAATCATACTTATGCATATGAGAAGTCTTTGCGTGTTTCATCTTGTATCTTCCATTGCAGAATGTTTAGATACATGACGAATCAATTCAACTATCTTTAATGAAAATATTTCTCCTTTTCAATTAAATTTCACCTCAGAAATATTCCTATCAATATGACCAGGGATGACACGCATCTTTCAGGAGGAAATGCTTTCAACTAGTTAAACACTTTTTCGTCAGAGAAATAGGAAAATTGTTTTTGTCTTATGAAATGGAAGTGTTTCATTATTCGTACTATGTGCTCGCTTCTACGCTTAAAGCAGCTATCGGTATCAAAAATTCAGTCATTTCTGCTAACTAGTGAGCAACATACTGTGGATATTAGGTGAAAAATTGAATGTAGTCATTTTAATGACTTAAATAAGACAAACATACACTCTAAGATATGGGTTATTTAATAAGATGAAAATCCTTATTTCTCTCGTTAACATTAGTCGAAAAACACCTACAAAATGCTTCTTCACTCATAACACCTACAGAGCCTAAGCATGAGCGTTCCAGAACTGAGCTAAAAGTTTGTTTTTTTTTTAAGATAAAAATCATTTTTCTCGACATGAAAACACTTATTTAAGACTAACTTCATATTTGAAAGGTCTGTGAAAAATTATGTTTGTCTCGTTTTACTTTTATGCTTTTCAAACTATTATGACTTTCATAGTTTTCACCCTTTGTTCCCTCTAGGACGTGGGATGTGGATATAAGTAGATGCGAGTGAAGAGAACACAGATTACCACCGTCATCCATACTAGATTTGTAAGGAACCAAGTTTTTTTTGATCCCGATTCCACACAGCTCTGCCTATGACACCTTTTAATACATCTATGCCAATAACAAAAAGAACACAATTAAAATTTCTTATTTTCTATTTGGATGAAGTTTCTAATTAACTTATTTTAGCAACACTTGCCGATGATTCTTTGCCTTCATATACTGATTTATTTGTTGTACCGAGTAATTGTAAAGAAGACTTTATACAACGACGAAATACATATATAAAAAAATAATAAATAGAATTTTTTTCCTTCTTTTTGTTTATATACAAAATTCAATTTAGATTGTGCTTGTTCTTTTTTTTTTTTGTTGTTTTTTTTCTGTTTAATGTGCAAAGACAAAGTCTTAATTTATATATATGTATATGCAAATCTTATTAATTAGTTGTTACTGTTTAATTAGTCAATTTATTTGTGTCAGATCAGATGTAAATATAAAACTCGATCTAAATTTGTATTGATTTGCTTATATTTCAAATAAATGATAAAATTTATGTTTTTATTTGTTTTCTTTTGCGCGCGTTTGAAAAAGAATAAAAATGAATAGTACAAATCGTTTATTAATACCATCAATATCTTATACATATTCAATGATGATTGGTTTTATATGTATTGGTATATGTTTTATTTGTTCATTATGTATGATTATAAGTCGAATAATTTATGAACATGAAAAACGTGAAAGAAAAATAACAAATCTTCATCGTTTTATGATTAATTTACCTGAAATTGATTTTAATGAATTACAAGAAAATATTTTTAAAGATAAAGATTTACCATTAAAATATGGACAAATGATGACTATGCTTGGTAAAAGTATTAAAGATATGGATGAATTTAAAAAACAATTACAAACATTACCAATAACAATAGCAGAAAAATTAGGAAATTTTACTAAAACAGATAAAATTGAACATTTACAACGTGCACTTGTTGAAAATCAATTTCATTTTTAAATTTATTTATCAATTTAATAATAATAAATAATTATAAAAACGAAATTTCTTTGCTTATTTTTAAGATAAATTAAAACAGAAACATCAAATAATGTCAAATAGTAAAACTTCTGTTGGACGTTCTTTAATTAAAAAACGTTTTCCTAATCAACATCGTGCTACATCTGGTGATGAATGGGTAGAATTGAAAAACAAATCGATAATAAATATATTCTATTAATTTTAATTTTCAATAGGTACATCAAAAACCTGATTTCACTGCTAGTACAGATTGGAATCGACTTAATCTACGATCAATAACTGATCAAAATTCATTGGATGAATTTTTAACTACAGCTCAATTAGCTGGCACAGATTTTGCAGCAGGTTAATATTCGATTTTTTTTCTTATTCATATATGTATACGTTTTACTTTTTTTTTTAGAACGTTTAAATGTAACATTTGTACCAGCTGTAGCTAAAGTTGGAATTTTATCTAATGATGATAAAGAACGTATTCGACAAGTACAACATTTACATCGAGATCGATTACGTATTCCACGAAGGCAAGAAAAAGCTTTTGCTTTTCGAAAATCTATATGAATTTTTTTAATGATTTTGTGTAGGCCTGCATGGACATCGGATATGAGTGCGGAACAGATTGATCAACAAGAACGTGCTAGTTTTCTTGAATGGAGACGAAAATTAGCTGTGTAAGCTTTTATTAATTAAAGTTTTCTTTTTATCGATTAATTTCTACTTACAAAAAAGAAACTTTACATAGCGACAGATCTTACTGAGAATAGTTAATTGAAAAATTTTCAAATCGTTTGATTTGCTTCTACTTTGAAATAAGAATAAAGAATAGAGCGAAAGTTTTGCGACAAAATATTTATTTATTTTTGGTTCGCTTGAAAGTGTTTCCGAAGAGCCCATAGTTTTCAATGTGAGCTTAGAAATTTTATCTCAGTTTTTGTTCGAGAATAGTGAAGAGATATTTTAACGGTCTAAGAAATTAGATTGAATAATGAAGCAGTACGCTTTCGCTAGTCCTTATAAATTTCTTTTTGAAAATGCCAAAATATATTCGAGTCTGTTGTTTTGTGGAGCAGACACTTCTGTATAAAGGTTGATATTAAATTAAACTGTGGCTTTTACCTAAGTGAAGCTATAAGCACTTAGTCAAGAGTTTCTTTCTATGCAAAGTGCTTTTTGGATCGAAAAGTTAATTTTTCAAAACTAAGAATTTAGAAGAAACACAAATTAAAGTAATCGGAAGAAAAACTTTGACAGTACATTTTGTAGGATAGATTTTTCTCCACAAGCTGATATATTAACAAAGGTGTTAACATATGCTTGTGCAGAAAATTTTTCCATTCAAACTCATTCTTTTCGACCTTTCAAAAGATCTCGTCTCATTAGTCTCAAGAAATGTTCTAAGCCTACATTCGTAGAGCATGAAATTCTGACTACAATCCATAGCTTTAGACTCTCCGGATAATCTTTCAAGGTAGGCAAAAATAAGTCTCAAAACTTTCGGTCCATCCGTTATCAGTGATGTAAAAGATACGTTTCTCTTATAGTTACATCTTACGGTAAGAATAAGACAAGGATCAAACACTATCACAATAAACTACCTTTCTCTATGTAAAGTTTCGAGCCAAAATTCGAAAACTACATTTTCCTAAGGTGAAAGGAGACGATATTGAGTTTAAAAATGCAATATCTCGTCACCAATAACCTAAGAATCTGAAGTTGTTTCAGGGTATTTACAGCTCATTCAAGTCTATGTGCTGTACATAGTTCAGACTCATAAACTATGAATGAAAATTCTATAAGAACTTTTTCCTTTGAACTCTGATGGATATTGTTGTGTCATTCAATAAATTTTCTTTAAATATTTTAGACTACAAGAAATCGATGATTTAACATTGACACCATTTGAAAAAAATCTTGAATTTTGGCGACAATTATGGAGAGTTATAGAAAAAAGGTTAACTTTCATATACATATTTTCAACATTAAATTTACATTAAAATATTTTTCTTAGTGATGTTATTGTTCAAATAGTTGATGCACGAAATCCATTACTTTTTCGTTGTGAAGATCTTGAAGATTATGTTCGAGAATTATCACCCGATCATAAAAAAGTAAATGTTATTCTTGTCAATAAAGCTGATTTATTAACAGATGAACAAAGGTAATTGAAATAAATATTAAAACTACATCTTAATTCAATTCATGTTTTCATATTTATTAAGACAAACATGGGCAACTTATTTTGATGAACATGATATCCATGTCATATTCTATTCAGCATTACAATCAGCTCCATCTTCCAAAAAAACGAAAGAAAAACTTTCATCAGAAACAAATGATAATGAATCTATAGATGATACAGAGAAAATTCTTGAAGATATTAAACGAAATCAATCAAGTTATAATGATGATAATTTTGAAATTTCAAATCCAACAAATCAACTTAATCGATTTGATGGTCTTCAATTAGACGATGATAATGATGATAAACAACAATCAGAAATAAATATCAATAATAAAAAAGATAATCCTTCGAATAATGATAATGAAAATGATGATAAAGATGAAGAAGATGAAGAAGATGAAGAAGAAGATGATGATGAAGATTTATCTGAAGAAGAAAATGAACATGAAGATCTTGTTGAACAAATACGTGAAGATATTTTTGCTTATGAACAATCGAAAGAAACAAAAAAAAAGAATTTATCAATTATTGTTAATCGAGAAGAATTAATATATTTACTTAAATGTTTATATACCAATAAAACAACTACCCGAGAAAATATTCTTACTATTGGAATGGTAGTCAAATAGAATTAATTTTTATTATGGTACAAAAAAAATTTTTTTAATTTATAGGTTGGTTATCCAAATGTTGGTAAAAGTTCAACAATTAACTCTTTATTGCAATATAAAAAAGTATCTGTATCATCAACACCAGGCAAAACTAAGCATTTTCAAGTAATCTTTCGAAAGCAAAGAACGGAAGCGCAATAGAATATATTTCGGATCCTTTTGATTGTCAAGATCTAATCTATTGAAGTCATACATTGAATGAAAGATCATAAAATCCTAATCATTTTGATTTGATCATAGCTATGAACACGGTGTATCTTCATGCCATGCTAAATAGGCAGTTATTCTAATAATGATTTGTTCAAGCCACGTTTTTGTAACAGAACCAATGATTTGAAATAATGTTTTGAGTTTATGAAACCATATTTAAGGCTTTCATTAGTTAAGTTTTCCGTACAAAAATAGCATTTTTAGAGTTTAAAATTAGCTTTCCACTGTTACAATGGCTTTATAACTAAACTCATCTTTTCACATGCTCCTGAGAGAGGGATCCAAGTGTGAAATTTTAATCAACAAAGAGTCATTGAAAAAGTTTGAACTTTGTTTGAAATGAAATAGATGTTCGCACAGTTTTTTACAACGAACAAAATAGCTTATTTTATAGCGTTTGGAAAGTTCTATTGATTACGAAGTGAACTAAGTATGCAGAAAGTTTGAATTAACTCAATAAATAAACGATTAATGGAATACACATGAATGTTACGAACTTTAAATTTAAGCAATAGAAGAATTATATATAGTCTAGTATATGCAAAGCATTACTTTAAAACAATGGTTTCTATTATGAAAATGTAGCTGGAAAGAAGATCTATCAGCATAACTGCTTATTTCATATGTTGCGAAGATAGACCCAATTCTTAGCTATGATTAAAATAAAATGAATAGGAACTCATGATCTATCATTCACTATACGAGTCAATTATATTCAACCTTGAAAATAAAAAGTGGTCAAAATACATTCTTATGCGCTTCTGTCTTTTATTTATTTATTTTCTCATTTAATGTTTTTTTTTTCAGACTATTTTTCTTGAAAAAAATCTTCTTTTATGTGATTGTCCTGGTCTTGTTTTTCCATCATTTGTTTCAACGAAAGATGAATTGATTATCAATGGAATTTTATCTATTGATCAAATGCGAGATTATATTGGCCCTGTCAACCTGATATCCTTTTCTTTTTAATATTTGTCGATTTTCTTTTTCTATTTAGCTTATTTTCATATCAATTTATCCTTAACTCTTCTATATACGTTTGTCATCAGGTCCCACGATCTGTTCTCTCACATATCTATAATATTATGTTACCATTACCAAAAGAAGGCGAAGATGAAAATCGACCACCAACAGCTGTAGAATTATGTGCTACTTATGCATGTAAGAATATGATTTCGATTATATTCATAATTAAGTCAAAATTAAAATAGAAATTAATTGACTAGAAGTATAGAAATTTATTTTAACATCATATCCAAAATATTTATCCTTCTTTTACGATAATAAAACTTGACTAGAACTTAGCACTTCATTAAACTGATTTCACTTCAACTATAAACTAATAAAATTGCTTTTATCCGATGGGTTTTATTCAATTATTAAACCTATCCGGTACTTCACATCTTATTCTAATCAACAATCTCAATTTGTCTAACATGCAAACAATTAAATAGATTTTCCATTAGAATAAAAATGATAACATAAGTTATCTTGAAAAGAACAAAAAAAAAAAGTATCAATCAATAAGAAACTCACCAAAATATTGATGATCTATTATTGTAATTATATAGCAAACAGAAATAGAATTCATTTTCTCTTTTTTTTTTTACATTATAAAAATCAATCATAATTTCCTAAATAAAAAAAAAAGAATCATTCTTCAAATTATATCAGAGTTGTCGGTGTTAGTACATAATATTTCATTTTATTCTTATCTTGATCAATGAGTACTAAATCATTGAAATGAAATGACAAGATAATTCATTATCATTGCTAAAGCTAATTGAATGATAACAATAAGACAATATACAATTTAGATAAGCATATAAAATTGTCATCAAATAATTTTCTTTAGATCGACGAGGTTTTATGACACATAAAGGTATACCAGATGGAAGTCGTGCTGCTCGTCTTATTCTAAAAGATTATGTTAATGGAAAACTTTTATATTGTTATCCACCATCAGGTCATAATTCAGAAGAATTTCAACAGTATTCTAATCGTTATCATTTCAATAACGATGATGATAATGATACTAATTTTGAAACAAATACCGAAGAAACTTCCTCAAATGTAACAACATCAAAAGTATATTTTATTTTATTTACAAAAAAAGAAAAAAACAAGAAAACATGTGTTCTTTTTTATTTTTATTATTATTTTCAGCAATCACGTTTTCAACCATCGGATGTCGATCGACAATTTTTTCATCCAGTAAATTTCATAACTGTTTTGTTCGGATTTTTTTTATTATGTTTTTTTCTTTAGACTGATGTACGTTTTGGTTCAAAAGGTACACATGGTCGAATAAATTATACAAGAAAAAATGGTCCGATATTAGCTGGTGAAACTATGAATGATTCAACGAATCAATGTCCAGATGGAAAACCTTGGAAAAAACATCATAATCGTAATAAGAAAGAAAAATTACGACGTTTATATCGACATCTTGATGCTTAAATAATAAATAGTGACGAAGAAACAAAAGAAAAAGAGGGAAAAAAAACAGGTTCGCAAATATATTAAGATTTTGCATATGAGTAAAAAACAAAGAAAACACTTTAACTGCTTGCTTTATGTTTTGCCGGTTGATACTTGTAATGAACATACATTGATCACCGGTCATTCACACATTGTTATTAAACTATGAATTTTGTTTTTCGTTTTGGTTAATTTTTATAGTTCTGTTACTCTCATAGGTAGTAAATGCGATTTAGATACTGTTGAATTTTCAATATCATGGGGTTTTGTATGTGAACATGTCCGTTGACAAGTATGAGCTATTGATGATGGATTATCTTGAAAAGAATCATATATGTGATTATCAGTCGTAGATGTTGTTGCGGTTGTTATTGTATGATTTAATGAGAGTTTTTTAGGAATAGGTGGCGGTGGTCGTTTAGGTGGTGGTAAAGGTGGTTTAGAAGGACTTGATGTCCTTTCGGGTTGTATACATTGATGAATAAAAGGAATAATCGATGTTGTTGATGAACTTTTTGTTGTTTCATGATGATCTTTTTTATTTGTTGTTTTGGCACGTTGTGCTTGTGCTGATTTTGATGTAAGTTCTTTTGTTGATTTTGAACGTTGAAGACTTGAGTCAATAACTTTTATTGGTGATGAACTCGGTGGTGATATTGAATATGTACGTAAAAGTTTTTGTTCAATTTTATTTGAACGACGTAAACTATCATGAAATGATGATGAACGTATAAAATGTTTTTTTGATGTTTTAAGACGATCTATGAAAGAAAGATAAGATTGAAATATGATAATAGAAAAATAAAAGATTTAATTTTACCTAATGAATGAAAAATTTTTTCCATTGGTGTGTTTTCATGATTATTCAATGATTTTTGTACATCTGAATTTTTCTGATTCATTGGTAATAAAATTGTTGACATTGAATCAATCATAATTGATGATGTATTTGATTGTATAAAATTAAAATAATGTTTATTTGGTAAAATTTTCAAAAGATCTACTGATCCATTATCAAAGATTTGTTTCATTCGTTGATAATTTTTATATAATTGTATTCCATGTTGTATTATTCGTATGCCATTTATCCATCGTTGACATTCATCATATGTATTTGCACATAAATAATGTATATATTTATTAGATTTCTTCTGTATATGAGCATATTTAAGTGCGAAACCATATTGTGTTGGTGAACGTAATGATTCAATCCAATTTTTTGCATGATATAATTGCATATTTGAATCAAATTTTAACAAACAAATAAGATTACGTTTTGATGATAATGATTTTGGCATTCGATATATACCTGATTGACGTAGAATACATGCATATTTTTTCCAAATTTTTCGATTTTTATCTTTAATATGAAGAATACTTGTTATATTATCTGGTAGATATATTGTATTTGATGATATATAATTCGTTAATACATCATCAGAAAGTTTTTCTTGTATAGAAAAAAATTTTTTCGCTTCATTAAATATTGAATATTTAATTTCATGTTGTTGAAAACATATTCGATTATTTGTATCACGCGACCAATAAATAATAGCATCATTAATTAAATTTTGATGATCTTCAAATATACGATATATATGTAAATCAGGTAAATCTTCAACAATTGAATAATTATATGTTGGTTTTAAATGGTATTTATGTAAAAGTAAAATAATTATATCAAATATTGACATTGTTTCATCAATAAGAATATTTTTTGTTGATTTATCTTCACTATAAATTTTAATAAACATTTTTTTAATATTTGCTTCATGCATTTTTTCTAATGCTAAACGAATTTTATTGTCACCAGAAAAATTTTTTAATGTATCACATGAAACAACCTTTACAAGAAAGAAAAAAAGAAGATTTAATTAGAGAAAGAAATAATCAAATAAACAAAAAAGAAAATTTAATATTCTACTTACACTTGAAGCATTCGATAGTTGACTATTTGTTCGTAATTGTGAAATTTGTTTAAATGGTAAACTTATTGAATCAGTCGATTGTGATAGTCCACTATCAGAAAAATGTTCATCACCTTCAATTTCATGATGTTTATCATCATTTTCATCTTGTCGTTGATGATGATGAGTTGTTGTTGAATCACTAGTTGCTGATGAAGATGAACTATTTCCTGAATCACCTAATTCAATTTCGACATTATTCAATGTACTAGTTAATGTAGCTAATGCTTGATCAAGTTCATCAAATTGTGCAACAATAGTTGGTGAAAGTGGTTTTTTATTACGATGAATAGATTCATGTGGAAACATTTTTGTTTGATCTAATCGTTGTTCAAGTGTATGAAGTTGTTCAAGTAGCATGTCAAGATCATCTTCTAAAACGAAAGAGAAACAAACAAGCAAATAGAGCTCTAAATTGATTTTTTTTTATTTCGATATGGTCTCGTCAATTATTGATTGATTTCTTTTAATTTCTCACTATACTTCAATTCAATCTGTCTGAGTAGCTTTTTCTTCTTCATCGTCTTCTTTTTTGTTTCATCGACATTTCTAAGTGATACCTGAGAATAAAACTCTTTTGTTCGTGTTCAAATACTTGCCTTTCCGATCAATCAAATAGTGACCTATATTTGTTTGTATGCGTATATAAAGTCCGTACAACGTTTACTGATGACGGCTATTGTCGATGAAAGTAAATTCTTTTTTCTTTTTTCTTTTTTTTTTTGAATCACACTCAGACTAAAATTAGAGTCATTATGGACAACTTTAAAAAAAAACAAATATCAAGAAGCTCGATTATTCATAAATTTCTTTTCTGGAAATTGACCTTCACCATCCGACATCACATAGATGTCTTAGATCTAGTTCGACAACAATAAATGTCCTTTTATATTTCCACTCTTCATTAATCTATTCTTTATAGAATGTTTTCTATTATCTATGCTTGCATAGTGCCAATGTACTTTTTCTTTCTTTCTCTTTGTCTTAAATGAATTATTGTGCAACTATCAATCAATATTGCGCTTTGCTTTTCCAGTTATCAATAAGTAGCAAAATAGTAGTAAACATTTAATTTTTTTTTTACCTTGTTTAATATTTATAATTGTCGGTGATGTTGATGTTTTATTTCGAGCTTGTCGTTCTAATGTAGATAATTCTTCATATGCTTCTCGAATTTCCTATCATACAAATAATTATATAAAGAAAAGAAAAGCAAAAAAAAAGAATTAATTTATACATGTAATAATAAACGTTCATCTTGCTTAAAGTATAGATGCAGATGTGAAACAAAGTAACTTCCGTTTACAGATTTATCCCTACGGTTACATTATGTTCAGAAAAAGAGTAATCACAAAAAACATGGTAGATCATTATGTTGATAAACCAATAGAGAAAAAGGAACACCGGCTGTTAGGTTAGTAGGGCCAAATGAAAAATGGACTCATAAATCTGTTACATGTACATATGCCCTATTAACACACATCCGGTATAATCAAGCCCAAATGTGACAATATGACGCCG